AGGAGGAGGAGGAGGAGAGGAAGAAGAAGAAGAGGAAGGAAAGAGGTGGAGGAGGGTTCACTACGATGGCAAAAGCAGCTTCACGGGCAGCGACGACGGGGAGGGCTTCTCGACGGGGCAGCTGGACGGAGACAACGATGGGCAGCTCGACGAGGAGCAGCAGCGACCACGGGCGGGCTTCGTGATGGCAGCGACGACGAGCGGGGTTCGGGACGGCAGCGACGACGGGCGGCTTTGCGACGGTGTGACGACGGGCTTCGCAACAGGGAATACCGCGTTCGAATTCGAACGCGATGTCGTAGCCCGCCAGAGGCGGAATCAATTTCTTGGCGGCTGATGTCATTCACTGATCTTTGAAGACCTTTGCCCCCCCCCCTTCGAAGTACTTGCAGATTCAAAAAAAACACTCCGCCTGGTGTTGCTGGAGCCTGGGGAGGCGACCGGTAGCCGGAAAAGGCCTCCCCCCTCCACCCGCACGAAAAACGGCCTCCCCCCCCCACCCGCACAAAATTGCGCTGGGCTCGCCCGGCCCCAAACGGGGGGACCCAACTGGCCGGGCCGCCCGGGACCCCTGCCAGACGAAGGCCAGGCCACCGGACGGTCCGGAATTTAACGCAGCTTTTTTTTTCTTTTCGTTTTTTTTTGTTGTAATCCATCCATGTTGGTAGAGTGATAACTTATGTTTTTTCAACTTTTTTTTTTCTTCCTTTTCTTATAAGTGCGAGGAATCTGTCCGCACATGGCCGTCGGCCGCGGCCTCAGTGTGCCCAAGGGGGGGCCGTCCCAGCAAGCAATGTGGCCGCCCTAAGTGAAGGCAGGCCTGATTGTAGTCGGGGGCCCCAAATCTGCCAAATGTGTCATATGTCTGTTGCTGGTCGCCAGACAGTTACCAGGCGCCAGGTGGTTGCAAATGCCCAGCTCGTGAGAATCAGAGTCTTTGAGGAGGAAGCTTCCAGGCCCCTGGAAGCTTCGATGTGGAAGCAGGCCTTTCGGCCTATCAGAAAGCAGGGAACACGTCACAGACCGCGTGTGGTGGTTGGGTGCATCTTGAAGCTGTGGGCCCAGGCAACTGTCTGAGTGGGCCTGGGTGCAGACACTTTGGGCCGACTGGAAGCTACTGGAAACTCGCCCAGTCAGGCCCAGCCCCCGACAAGCAGGGCTCACTTTCCATATAGGAAAGTGAGCACTCCAGGCAGCAACACATTCTGAATGGCAAGCGCACGGGGCCACGCTGCTGCGACACAGAGCTAGTGCTCTGCATAGGCGCTGGCTGGCCAGGGCGCGGACGGGCGCTGTGAGGTGACGAGCGCTGCTGCGGCAGCGGGCGCTAGGCGGCCATAGCCAGTCTGCTAGGCGCAGAGGGGCGTCGGCAATGGTGGTCTTCGGGTGTTGGGGATGTACACGGTAGGGAGTCGAGGGATGAAGGGAGAGCTGAGAGATACGTACCTGGTGTATGCTGGCAGTAGTCAGCATGGTCGACGTCGTCACGTACACTGCTCTTCAGCATCGAAGTGAATCCTGTTGCATGAACGTAGTGTAGGCTAGAGTAGGCTGAGTAGCATAGGCAGGGTGCTGAGCGCCATTCCGGAAGAGCGGCATTGGACACTATGTTGATGTGGCGAGAGAGTGTCGACGTCAACATTTGAGTTCATTGCATTGCTTTTATTTGGCTGTATCTCGGTGCATTGTGCTTTCTGCTTGGTTCTCAACTATCTGGTCAAATGCGTGATTTTGCAATTTGGATTGCTGTATATTACTATATTGCTCTCGCTCGTATTCCTTGCGTAAGGGCGACAGCCTTTAGATATCATTATTGAACTGACCGACCCGAGGCAATTCAGAACGATTTTATTCTTTTTATCTGATAGTATCTGGATTCGAACTTGAGTCTGTATTTCAACAGTTCAGGTGGGGTGTAGCAACTGAGCTAGGCCTGTAGTCTTTTTTGTTCATCTTTCTAAATGAACGAGTAAGAAATGTGTTGTTGGATGGAGCCGCACAAGGCTACAAGCAGCGTAGAGTATCTGTATTAGCTTCACAGATGACGCCAGTTAGGTGCATGCTACAAAGACATGGTGATAAAAGCTTAGTCAGTCAAGACCAACAAACGCTTGACACATAGCCGCGACACGCGCAGCGATCATATGTGAAACTCAACCTCAACACAGATGACGCCAGTGAGGTGCATGCTACAAGGACATGGTCAACATTCCTTGCTTCAATCAAAGCGCGGGTGATAACGGAGTGGGCCATATTTTGTGTAAGTGGTAATAGTTCTGGCGGAATGTGTGTTGGGGATGTCAAGCTACTCAATATCAAGTTATTATCAACAGTCCTTGGCAAAGATTTCATGAGAATTTCTCAAGTTGGATGTCCAGTTGATGTGGTAACGAGAACTCGTTAGCCTGACGAACTCTTGCCCATTCCTCTCTTCCCCCYCCCCCCCCCCTCCCCCCCCCCTGCCCCCTTCCCCCTAGCAAGGCTTTCAAATACCTTTTTTTTTTGTTTTCCCTTTTCCCCAAATACCTTTTCTCAAAGGATTGATTATGCCTTTGCCAAGTTTGCATGGATAATAGACTAGTAATAATGTGTCTTTTTTTTCCATCTATTTTTTATTTGTTTAACACACAGGAATACACAGGAATGATGTGTGTGTTTGCCAGCCTGTTGGTTCATCTTTAAAGAGCTGAGGCATCTCGGGGCTTTTCTTGGTTTGGTTTTCAACTTTTCAACATTACTTCGATCTTTATTGCAGTCTGATGAGTGTGTGTGTGTGTGTGCGCACAACTGAAAGATTGGGAGGTGAATGTGTGGCTTTGGTTTTCTGTGCAGCCGATTTTGATTGCTGAGAGCTTTGGTGGTGATGACGAGCCGGTTGATCCTCTGATGTCACGCTTTGCTGAATTGGGCCTGACCCCTGCTTTTGCACCCCTCAAAGTCAAAGATGTACCGACGGAAGCCACGTAAGTCAGCTCTTTGCCTAAGACTGGGTTCTGGAGAGAGGTCAGAAAACTAACGAAGGCAAGTGTCAAGAAGAAGGAAAGAGAGAGGGGAAGAAGAAAGAAAGAGAGAACGGAGGATTGCCCTCTCAGGTTTTCACAGAGCAATGTACAATGCCGCCTGCTTTCTTTGTGCCTCCTCTCCTAAACTTCTTGTACGATCCTGTCCTGGAAGCATGATACTCCCAATAAGTGGACACTTTTCGTTCTTCCCCGGTTTTCGGCGGAGTACGAGTTTCTCGCCATTCAACTTGCCTGTTTGTGTATCTGTGAAGAGGTCTGGCCAAGAAAGGTTGCAGAGGATAGATGTAGACTCTTCTTGACTTGACATGGAGAGAGATCTGGGCAAAGTGTGTGTGTGTATGTGTGTGCTGTGATGTTTGCTATACACAAATCCACAGAAAAAGTATGACTGTGCCAGACTGTTTTGTCGGACTTCTACCGACTCGTCAGGATGTGGTGTGTTTGTGTGTGTGTGGGGGGGGCAAGGAGGGGGGCTTTCGCATGTGTGTGTGACAGTGTGTGCATTTGGAATGTTAAAGAACGCTGAACTTCTGACTTAACTTGGTAGTGGAGCATGCTGCGACCAGTTGAGCATTGTTACAAAAGAAGATGGAAAACATATCCACAGATGTCCAAAATAGCATCATAGCGAAACCACCCACAAAATAGAATTTCAGTAGGAAGGAAAAAAGAGAGATTGCATCAGGAGTCTGAGCCCTCAACGGTCTTTGCAGAATCCCCATTTGATGCCTTCAAGTTGAGTCTTGGTCTACTTCAACAAATCGGGGAACTCTAAACCCAGCTTCGTTTATTTCCAAGATCTGCAGAGAAACTCTGTGTCACATATCTCCGGACGCTGTTGCTAAGAAAGGAAGGTTGGTTACAACAGAAGCAGCAAGGCATATCAGGCTGCAGTAACCACCAAGGGGGGGCGGGTGGGGGTAGGCAGGCGGGCACAAATGCAAACGTGGGCAAGCTGAAAGGTGGCGGGGCAGCAGAAAGCGGAGGGCGCACAGGCTGGCGAGACAAAGTAAAAGCCAGGTGGGGGCGGGCGGGTGGGCAGCAAAGCAGGCACAAGCGCATACTGCGAGACGGGCTGTAAGGGAAGCAGACAAGCAGCATAGCTCATCAGCCGGATAGCATGGCAACTCAAGACAAGCGGTCAAACAGCAAGGTATCACAGGGGAGGTGGATGGGCAGCCAGGCTTAGGCAGCACCAACATGGCAGTCTACACATATGACATGGACCAAAGCAGATTCTCACCTACTCACACCACAAGTGCACTGCCATTGAGTGTGAGGGAACCACAAGACTAATGTGTGTCACAACCAGGGAACAGACAGACAAGTTGAGACAACGGTGTCCTGAACACAGCACCCACCCTAATAGTGTTCCGGACACTTCGAACGAACCTGGGCTGACTATTTGAAACATCTTACAGGGTGCTGTATTTTGTGACATCGAGGAAAACATGAGGAAAGGCCAGGGAGGACACAAAGTGGACAAAAACTTAGAATGAGACCACACAAACTGGACGAACACATTTACACTTACAACAACACGTCCATCTCAGTGCTTTAACCGTGGCAGATTTTCGTGCTTGCAGAGCCTGACCTCGGTACTAATGGGACCGCAGCTCGACAAAAGTAAGACTGCACAGTGGAGGTTCATCCTTTTACATTTTGTTGTTGATTTTTTGACCATCTGACCGTCTACCATTTGGGACCGAGAAGTAGGTGCACCCATAACACCTGAGAGCTCTGAGACTTTGAACCGTACTTGCAGCACACTTGTGCGGTGCGCCATGTGCCATGTGCAATTAGTGTGGTGCTGATGATGCGCGCATTTTTTTTTTTTAACGGGGGTTGGGTCTG